TCAAAAATCGGAAATTTAGTAAAGTTATTTGAAAAGCATTATTAACGGTATTCGACGCGCTTGATGGTCAAGTTGGTACTATCTGCTACTCGTTGGTTAAGAAATCGTACGGACGGTGTTCCACTTGCTGGTATTCGCTGGTATTCTTGGGCGCTTTCACGGTGACATTGAGGTGCTTCGCACTCTCTCCAATACGGCCCAAATTGATAATGCTAGGTGCAGGTTTGTTGTAGGCATTGCAGTGTTGGTAAACAGCGACAGTCTTGAATAAGTCATTAATATTTGTTAATTTCTAATTAATTAATTAATTAATGATCAAAATACTTCAATTATAAGTGTCGGAATCAATTGCAAATTTGAATTTAAGTTTGCATATAATGCCCAATGCCAACTACAAATACATTCATGTGTGGGGGTAAATAGTATTTAGGTAAACAAAATGAGAGTCTATAATTAAAAAATACGTAAAGTTGATCTTGCATAGTTACTCAAAGGGACTTGAATCAATTTTTGCTTTGAGTAAATTATGCGTAAATCATTCGCAAACAAACTGAAATGAGTTCCACATCTAGAATTGGTTCGTATTATAATTAATGGCTACATGCATTTGGAGGTAGTGAATTATCATAATTGTTAGTTACTAGGATGCTTCTAATACATAATGTGGAGAATTTAAGTAACCAAAATCATTTGCTATATCGTTTTCCGTTCAGGTTATAGTTTTGGTGCAAAATGTAACAGAACTGAACTTCCAAGTCCATCAACATACGCTTGGTCCATCTGATTGCCGCTAAGTGAGTTTGAACTGGCAAAAGTGGTTTCAACATTTAAGTGTAGAATTTTTTTTTAAATATTGAAATAAGTATGAACAAGTAGTCAACCTTCACTTTCATATATACAGGTTGATTCATAAACTTATGGACACAGAGCAGGGGCATATAGAGGACCTCAGAACAAGTCGAGTTGCCATTTAAGTTGGGTTAAGTTTAAGTAAGCCAATAAGTGTGATGGAGTACCGAAAAAGATTTCCAAATCGTGTGATTCCAGATCGACAAACTTTTGCTAATGTTGAACGGAAAGCTCGGGAGACTGGCTCTCTTTGCCAACGCAATAACGGAGGTATTTTTACAGGCGCATTTACGCAGTGAACGCAAGAAATGAGGAGCAAATTTTACGTCAGAACGGAAATGAACCAGAATCGGAAGAATATCCAGGCAATTTAACATTTCACAGTCCACGGTTCATCGGTTATCCGACGTAACATGCTGCATCCATATTATTTTCAAAAAGTTCAAGAACTGTTACCTGTTACCGTCATTGTGACTCTTAGAGCCAAGCATGATTTTTTTAAATTTTATTTTAAATCAGAACGTTTGTTTGTGTGTTGCAGAAGTATCGTAGTAGTAAGAGGGGAATCACAAATCAACGCATGAACTGAAATCAATTTCCGATCAAAATGCATTGCCAAACAGAATTTAAAATCAGTAATAAATGTACCATTATAAAAATGACTTCCATTGTTAGATAAAGTTGTCTTATTATTATTATTAAATTGAAAATAAATAATTTAAACTTATTTAATTTTATGAAATTAATTTCGCAATAAATTGAAATATTTGTTACATTTTTGTGAATTTTTATTTGGAATGACTTGCAACCTCAATTATTGTAAATTAAATTAGTAATAAAAAATAAAGGTAACTCGACAGCCATCCCTGTTTTAACTTCAACTTGCAGTTCAAGCTTTCACAACAAAATGTGAACAACAGGCCACAAAAAAAATACATAAATTCATAGAAAATCACCCAAAAACCCTACATGGACTTCTGTTTGTGCAAATAACTGGAAAACTACGGCTGACCTGCAAAAACTGTCCCGGGGGTAAAAGGGAGTATGCCTCTGGCAAAAAACACCCTGTAGATTTTTGCAATCAGTTGGCTTGCCTGCGGTTAAAGGGTCTAAAGAGTAGTCTATGTTCAAAATTTGAGCAAAATATCTCATAAGCTGTAAAGAGAAAATACGAATATATTTTTACTTACAACTGTCTATAACCATGGGGCTGAGAAAGAAAAACTTAAATGGAAACTCGACTTGTTTTGAGATCCTTTACATGCCCCTGCTCTGTGTCCAAAATATTGTGAATCACCCTGTATATCAAGTGCTAAAGTATGAACTGATAAGAGCATTTAAGTTGCGGTCATTTAAGCATTTTTAGATAATACATAGCAGCACTATCAGAAAACTTGCTTTTTCCTCTGCTCTATTCATTGTCATCTATTATCCATTGATGTATGTTTATTGCGTTTTGTTGCGTTAATCAATTACAATCTAGTGGCGATCAATAACCGGCTTAATTAACTTGATACAAGAGATGTTCATTATTTATCAAATTCAGAGTTTAATAATCTAGGAAAATGGTAATTAAATTATTAATAAATTTGAATTATTGCGTGATTGTATGAGCGATGAATTGGAGAAACAACTAATTGAAATAATATAGCCATTCCACTGAACTGTCTTTCGGAAATTGCGTTTTAAAGTAAATGTTTTTTAATAAAAGTAAAGCTGTGCAATGGTTTAGAAGCGGGTAAAAGTTTCTTTTGTGAAATGTAACCGGAAGTGGCGTTAATAGCGATTTCATTTACACATACACTGCCATATTTCATTTATATTTATTCACAGTTTCTTTCTTCGGTACACTTTGTAAATGCGGCTTTCAAATATTGGTAAAGTTAATCTATTAGTAGTTTCTGACAAAAGGGTAAAAAGAAACATTTTTGCCATAGCATCGGATATTATTTTTTATTGAGATGTATTTCATTACATATTTTGTTTTTCATATTAAAGTTTTATGTCGATGTCCGTTTTCACATTATACCATTGTCAAGTCACGTTTTGACGTATTTTTTATGTTTGTCTGTTTTATGTTCCTACTTTTTCAAAAGCGAAACTTACCTCAAAAAGCATATTTTTGCCAAATACATCTGATATTTAATACTAAAGCTCCTGGTGTAATGAATACTGAAAACTTCCAGACCGTGTCAAAAATGTCAGATGTACATATATGTACAAGATACCCATTTTGCAATTGTAAATGACATGCGTATTTCATTTTTAGCAAGGCGTGGCACTAAAACGGTTGTGTGTGCCTACCGTCAATGGCAAAATTTTATTTTCATTTTACGTTTTACGTCAGTTGATTCCGTGAGAACTTCGTGCATCTACGAGTTCTTAAACATATAAGTAGTCCCCTAATTTATTGGATTAAGCACTTTTTAAACACTATATATCGAAGATACACATTTAGATGATTCATTTACCATCGGCACAGAAATGCTAGGTGGGTAAACAGTAACACATTTTAAAGGTCACAAATCAGAATTAAATCTCAACAATGCCTTATTTTGCCTGTGCCCATAACACCACAATGAAAGGGAAATAGTAACTGGAATTAATTCAGTTACAGCCAGCAATTATTAGTGAACGGGCCCTAACCATATTCTTCCCTTTCTCGCTCCTGTCATTATGGTCTTCAGGGCGAAAAGTTATAGTTTTAGTTTAATCGAATACAAGATGAATTTATCGGGCTCTTAGAAATTATAACTTGTTACTTTCGCGGACTAACTGAAGCACGAAAATTAAAGATTGTCCCACGAGAGCTATTCACGCATGAAACTCAAATATATTTATACTGTCTAAGATCAGCTTATTCTAAAACAAATATTAAGTGTATTATTTCCAGCAACGATTTTAATACAAAGGACGTTTAAGTTGTTTTAATCAATATAAGAAAGTGTTAAAAAAATATAATTTTTTCAAAATGTTAAGCTAATTTTCACCCACAGTTTAGAAGTGAATGGCATTTCAGAATTTTTAGATCGAATCTAATTAAACATAATTTTAGTATATTAATTATATTATTCTTTTCTCATTTTTCAATCAGTTCGACTACAGCGTTGGGCTCACTCTAATTTAATTAATTGAAAATACAATGAACTAGTTAGGCTTGTCTGAAGTCAGGAAACCGTTCGCTGAAATATGAGAAATTTAAAAATACCTAGTTAAGAATCAAAGCTTGAACCGTTTGTTCTGTACTAGATTTTAGGTTCTGAATAGCGGCTTAATGAATTTTGCCGAAAAATTAAGCACGATTTGCATACTCTATGAGTTAGTATAAAAGAATCATCGAAATTGAAGCAATCTGCACGCCGAGAAACTTTAAATATTTGAATATTTAGCGAAACTAATTAGTTTTGTCATACAGTTTAATAGGATTATTAAATATAGTGCGCAAATTAAACATACATTTTACGTCAACTGGTTTATAGACTTTGAAGCTGAACTACAAAGAAAACTTTTCAGTTCGGTACATGCTGGTACTATTGCGGTAAGATTGTTTTGATAATGTTTAGCGGTATTACGCTGTTACTTTAATAACCACAGTAATTACAATTATAGGCACAAGTTGACACAGTTTCAGCATTTGCAGCATAATTGGACAACATAGTAATTATTGCCCATACCTACGACAGGGAATTAAGTAGATTACCATAAAATTGTAACAAGATCTTTAACAAATTCATACCAATGTTCTATGCTATCGAGTAATCTAGTCATTAGTCAGTGCAATCAAAATATGCGGGAAATAATCTGCCTTTATGAAAATAAACGTTTTCAGCAATATGATTCAAATTCGTACTCTCTCTGAAGGGCTGGTAAAAGTTATACCGAAAAATTCGTAAATTAATTGAGTATTTACCGTTATTTTTGTGTCAACACAGGTGACACACAGCAGTAACTAACCGCGTTCCGGATTTAGAAACGGAATAGAAAAACGACCGACAAAGCTTATAATTAAGATAATACAGACATAAAAAATGAGAACGTATAAAGAAAATATAAGTGGTGTTTTCTATTTTAATCTCTCTGCGATTTTTCAAAGGCTGGATAAAGGTACAAGACGTTTTGCAGTTCCAAAATACAAAATAAGACCCAAAACAGAAATAACAAGTATTTTATTTTTATTAGGAAACAATCTTTGATAGATCATTATGTACCCAATTAAATCGTGCAGTCATGTATGACTCTAGTATTAATTTGTCTAAATATAATATAATTTTTTTGTTCTGTTTACTCTGAGTTCATTTATATCTACATAAATAGTTCAATGTTTGTTCTATTAATAGTTGTTGCACCGTAGCGATACCTAACATAATGCAAATAATTGCTTAATTATCAGGAAGAGGAAACTTACCTTTACATACTTAAAAAGTTAAATGTCCATGAACTTAGAGATTATGATTTAAAGAAGAATTCTTCTTAAAGGTAGGATACTGTGATTAAAAATCTGTAGATTGCGGTTTTTGCAAGTTTCTAGAGAGCAGATAAACATGCATTGCATCTGACTTTCCTTTCATTTGAACTGGTCCCCGATAGTCAAATTGGAATTGAACGTCAAAGTTGTCGTCTTGAAGGAGAACTCTGAAAGGAAATTAATTTATCGGTTATTTCAAGTTTTCACGGCAACCTTTGCTTGTCACAATTATGCAATGGCTGTGAGAAACACATTTAAATCAAATCAAAATTTTATTACTTGGTTGAAGCAGCGTGTGAATGTTATTGTACAGCAAGTTCTCAAGTTGTTAGAACTACATATAGTTGACGATTTTTAGTAAGTTTATTAACGAATGATGGAAATATGTTGGGTCTAATATCTAGAAACGTCTGAACTTTGAGGAATCATGGACAAGGTACCGTTTTTTGATTAACAAAATCAGAAACATTTTAAAACTTTTTTAGGCATTACAACTTGTGGAATTGAGTGGAATTGAGAGTATTTAGAAATAATCGGAAATATTACGTGCCTGACTAAACGTACATAATCAAACACTAACTTCAGTCCCAAGAGACGCAAAAATCTGCACACTTGAGCACCATCAGTTGACAACAAATAGGGAATCATACAGTTACCATGAGCTTGTACTAGTGAACCGAAAGCATCGCAATGCGATATTTTCTTACAGAATATATGAGGGCACAAGAAGGCCATCAGGTTACAACCTACTTGTTTAAATTTTTTATTTTTTATTATTTTTTGAATTTTTTTAAATTTTAATAATTAAACTGTGACAAGTTCCTTGACAAAACATTAAAAATACAGAAGTTAGTTTTGAAGTCGTGGCCTTATAAGAAGAAAATGGCAGAAGGAAGAACAAGAAAATATAATATTAAAGATGGAGTGAAAAAGATAAATGATGTGAAGAGTTGCTTGAACGGCCAACAGTAGGGGGATCAGGAAGCCCACGGGAAGTCACGTGATTACAAATCCCTAGTAAAAACCAACATGGCAGTCAATTTCAAAATTAATTCCGGAGTAACCTCCCCAATCAGCTCTCCAGGGGATAAAATAAAATCGATCAATGTGTGGAAAGGCAGCACCATCATAATGGGAGATTAAACGCCAAGATTGGACAGCGAAAAGAAGCGAACATATTGTCGGAAGATTTTGGTCTCGGTGATACAGAAATAACAGATACAAGACCGCTTTGTAGCATTTTGCAAGGAACAACAGCTATCCGACGACCAACCACCACGACGACTGTACACTTAGACCTCTACAGCACATACTACCAATAACATCATACGGAAGCAGATTGATTATACCACAATTAATAATCGGTACGGCAACGTAGTTAAATCAGTTAAAACATTCCCGGGCGCTGATGTTCCATCCGACCATAATCTGCTACTGGGAGTTTCCAAACTGAATCTGACAAAGCTAAAGCAGCCTACGGAATCCTTAAAATTAGATATTAATCACCTCTAAGGGAAACGAATGAGCTGAAAATAAATTTTCAAGAAGAAGAACAGCAAATAAACAATCAGCCCTGTGCTGTATCACTCACGTTAACTTTAACGTGCATGTTATCCGTCAAACACGTTATGTGGCTCCAACTGGTGTGTTGTATCA